TTTGGCTTCGCTTTTCTTTTCCCTAAATTTACGCTTTTAAGTGTCTTAAATTCTGTTTATAAAAATACTTACTCATTAATTGTGTCTATATACATATAAGGTTTTTTTCTTTTAATTTTCTGACCAACCATGTTTGGGAAATTATGAACATGTTGGCAGTACTGAACAAGTGATTGTTTTGCAAAATGATGAGATAAATCAATTTTACTACAGTTCACTTATTTGAAAATCAATGCAGTATTGTGTGGAAAATACTGGCAACAGTGAAAAGCTGCTTTAGATTACTTCTCAATTTTTTTTTAATTTAAGAAATTTGGGTCTGAACAGCTCTGAACAAAAAGACTCACCCGGCAAATTGGCCCGATGGGAACGGAAAAGCGGCAGTTACGGCAGAGCAGAGTGTTTGAGCCGAGCTTGAGACTATAATGCCGGCGTCGACTTTTCGAAGCTTTTGAATTTGCCGCTTTTGTTTGAAGTTGTTGGGGGTGTTGTTGCTGCTAATTCTGCAGCTGTTGCATGGGCTCTATTGTGATTTGTTGTGTTTAACTCGTTTCATTGCACTTGACATAACTTTTCGAGGGGACTGAGAAATTGGTGACGAACCAAGCAATGAGAACGAAACTTGGAAATGAAAAGAACTTCCGAATTAGACCCGCTTCTTTCCCAAGAACCGTGATATTTCCGGCCGACGGAATGGTGTTTCTTTTCACCGAGCACACGACCGTTTCGTTAAAAACTTGGATTACAACTAAAAGCGGCGAATTCTCGGCGACGTAGTCCACCAACTGAGCGCCACGCTTCTCTTCCGCTCGCTCGCTCGGGAAGAGAGCTTTGCACTCTTCTTACCAACTGATAAATGTTAATTGGTGTTGCCAACCCGCGTTGCCAACTTCTGGGGGGCCTGGGGAAAAAAGCTAAAGCTGGAAAAGCTAAAGCTAATTGGAACTATCGGTGCGGGTAAAACTATAATTTCGCTTTGGGCTTACAAGCTCACGGGGGAATTTCCCATGGGTGACGAACATTAAGCACTGATGATTAAAGTTCGCTGAACATATTACGATCAGTTTAATATGAACACTATACCAGAATCACTTAAATGAAGTTTGAATAGCTTAAAAAAGGGGATTAACTAATAGTCAAAGAAGAAAAATATTATAATAGATTTTACTATGGTGATTTAAAAGAAACGGAAAATAGAGATAAAACTTCAACTTCTTAACTACGCCAGCTACTAGTGCAAAGTTAATTACCTACAAAAAAAATGTTCATAAACAAGTAAAGGACCATTTAGCAAACACAAGGGACTAGGGACTAAGTATCTTAAAACTCCCATTCAGGGTTTGTTGTGTAAGAAAAATGCCCAGCTTACCACTTAAGAGGTCTGGCAAGCCCACAACAATTAATATAAATTAAAGCGTTACGATTATGCGAGACAATCTTCATTAATTAGACGCAAGTCGAACATAGAACAAATTAGCCAAGGGTTCGCATCCAGCGGGGGAGGGGGGTTCACAACCCCAACCGGCAATGTCATTAACGTCACGTCGCTTTCGCCAGTGTCGCCTTCACCTTTTCCATCGCAGGATAAAGGGTGCAGTAATTATATTTACCGTTAATCCTGATTCACCACAAAAGGATAAGGACGCGGAGGGCAAAGGGTGACCGCCTGAATGGGAAAAAAAGAAAATGCAACAAAGAGCATTAGTAGCACGAATGTTGTTGGTGCTAAAAGCGGGTTACAGCGGTTACAATCAACCTTAATGAAGTCGAAAACCCACGCACGCGTTTTAGCTACCATTTTTTACTTAGTCAACAAAAAGTGGACTGAAATCACGGAAAAAAAAACGAATTGCTTTCGGAAAGAAATATGGATTTTGAGGATTATTAGGGAATAAAAAAAGTTACCAACTTATTCGAAGTAAGCTTAATTCAAGACCATAAAAAAAAAACACAAGATACCAGGTATCTCACCATCGACTATTCGGCATCCAGTCGATTCCATCTGCAGTTCATTTACATAGTATTCGATTAAGTGCAATTTACTTTGCGTTTCGATTTCTATGGCTTTCCTTTCTCTATGGCATTTGAAATGAAAAGCGTGAAGCTTAAAGTGCGTTTGGCTCGATTGCCTGAACACTGAAATCAAGTGCGGTAGATTGTAAGCTGCTGGTGGAACTCAAACCCCATTGATTCTCGAACTTTTACTGGTTCGGTCTGACAATAAACACAGCTCTACTTGCTGAAACCGCAGGTGCCTACTGAACTTTGGCTTGGAACTTTCTGGATTGCAGTTGATATTTACCTATTCCTGTATATTGGTTTTATTTTTCTTCATTTGAACGACAAGTACGTAGGTTCCTTGCTTGAAAACCCAAGTTTACCTGGAAATTTCTAATAGAATTAACACTAGCTGTCTTCAAGCTGTCACCTCAGTTTCAATAATAACAAAATTATAATTTGCATTATCGTTTACGGCACTGTTAATAGAACAAGCTATTCCTTGTTTAGCCTAAGTGCATAAATTGCTAATAAATTGTCACAACATTATGCATATTGGTATTTTCCAGACCATCTCCTTGGCTCCTCAATAGTTATCCTTGGCAAATATTTAATATCGTAGATGCATTTTCCTATGTACTCGCAGGATAAAATCAAACCAGATTTTCCCATATGTGTATGCGTGTATGTCCTAGTACGTCTATCAGAAATTTGTCTTCCATGTCATCGAAAACTCGCATATTCGGGGAGCAGAGTTGGGCACCCTTCCAAAACGAATGAATATGGACAAAGGAGAATATATATTTATATGCATTCGCAGGGAAAATTGAAGTCTGCTGAAATCTGAAAAAATTGAGAAAAGCAATCATAATGTAGATATTGAAATATATTGACTGGCGTGCGACTCGAGAGTTACCCCCAAATGAGCAACCCAATTTTTGAGTTCAAGTTCTTGCCCCAGGAGATATGATGTTTGTTTAAATTTATTTCTTCGCCCAGATGCCATTGCCTCCAACAACACATATTAATTTATTTACGACTTTTGTTAAATGCTTAAGTTAACAGCTGCGCTGTGTTTAGCTAATGCAAAGCAGATTGTGATAAGGGAAAACTTTTTGTAACTCCCACTGACCATCAAAAATGCACTGAATAATGAATATTTATTTAAAGTTTTTTATATACTCAACCCTGTTAAACAATGATTTATATCAAAGGGCCAGCATGTGCTATTATACAAGAAAAAGGGTATATTATAAAAAAACAGTCATAGCAACAATCTATGTTTTAAACAAGATATAAAGATTCCTAATGGATAGAAATGGAAAATGATGAGTGCCAGAAATCGTTTTTGCTATATTATATATTTTTAAGAGTACAATGCAGTCGCTTTACTGCTTGTTACAATTTTGATCTTTTGTTTTATTTCACAGCACGATTGATGGGCTTTTAGCAGCTTTTGGTTTTTGTTGCCTGGCTTTTGGCTGCGATAACTGGCGCAACTGTTCACTGTTTTCACTGGCTCAAAGGCGACATAAAGAATATTTTGATTATTTTGTGAGCCAGAAGTTGAGCATTTTAAGGCCCGCCGGCATTTGCATTTCAAATATACTTTTACGACAGCCAGTCAGCCAGGCAGGCAGTCAGCCAGCCTCTTAGCCTTTGGCTTGGCCCGCATCCCGCCCGACACCTTCCGCCGCAGGATCTTTTGCTGCGGGCGAGACGAGGTGAGCCACATGGAAGTGAGTGAAATACCACAAATGGCGTGTAAACACAACAAAGAGGTAATAACAATGGATGCCAACGAGGTCCCTGACTTCGAGGACCAATGGCAGGGCGACCAAGTAGCCGAGGGGAGCTCGTCCGCATTCCTGGAGCCTTTGAGAGGAGTCCTCTCAACGCAGCGCGTTGGGAGGTTGCAAGGATGGGGGGATTGGAGGCAGGACTTTGGCACCACGCACCAAGCACCCGCACTTTCGAAAACATTTTTATTTGTTTCTCCGTAAGCTGTGTCAATACACAATAAATTGAACTGAGCAGGAATTTATGTTGGTCCTGTGCGAGGATATTCTGCACCCTATCTGCCCGCTGGCACTGTTATCGCACTGGGGCGTCAATTGCCTGTTGGCCACCGTCCCCTGGGGATTTAAAAGTTCAATAATATTTATTTGTTACTTGCTCTTTGACAACAAAGCACACCGATTATACTTAGTGCTAGGCCGTCGTGCATCAAGTCGCGCTATTGGCCCACTGCCTCCTACATAATGGCAATTGGCGCACAATAGCCGAGACCACAGATAGGAGTATGTCTTCTCCGGGGCAGTAAATTCCGGCCACTAAAGGCGATGATTTTTCAAGAGACACAGAGCTAATTTAGTGACCGAATGCCAACGCGGTCACCGCCGTGATTTACGGGGTCACCATTTGCACGACTCCAATTATTTGTTGGCTGCCGCGGGACTTTAACCTTAGAGAAAAATAGGAGGAACGGATGAGTATATTTTACCTTAGATTAATGTCAAAACTCAGTTTAAGAGGGAACAAGAAATATTACCTGCTTAAAATCTACATTGTATTAGGTTTTCTTAAACCCGCTAGCTCCTAAGCTCTTTCGTTTGAAAATTGCTAGGGGATCTATATGTTTCATGTATCACTATTTATATTATTTAGGAAGCAGTTAGCATTCATATTTTGCATGCTGGCCCATTGTTGGTGGCGTTAAGCAAACCAATTGATATTCATATGCGACTGAAATAGGCAGTTCTCCGACGGAAACAAGTGTTTTGTTGGTCATCTACAAACGGCAGCCGATGCATAAAAAAGAAGTCTTCAATCTTCTGCTGCCAAAGCCAAAGCCCCTTAGTGCGCAGGCGCGAACAAACAGCCGGCAAACAACCCGACGGTTCGATTCCAGAAATTCAGTGCAACCGGAGGGATGCGAACAGCACAAAGCTGGGGAAGTTTGAAACGAACCGGTATGCCACGTGAAACGGAGGAGAATCCGATGTGGAACGCTGGACGGAATGTTAAGAACTCGGTGGGCAGTGGGATGGCATCGCTCGAACGCGACTTAGTCGAAAATTTGAATCCGGTTCGCGCGGACGTGACTCGGATGGTGGAGGGAAACCCAAGTCGAAAAAGCAACCGCAACCAGAAGTTGCGATTTTACGCGATGTCTGAAGAGGACTTGTGCCGAAGCGGGAGTCAGGAAAACAAAATGTGACAATAGAAACGGGGAAAAAAGTTAATGGAAAGTGGCAAACAGAGAAAAGAAGAATTAAGACAAAGTTAAACCACTTGATGTCCTCTTGGGTGTCCTGCGTCCCGAGTCCTGTGTTCCGCGTCTTGCAGTGCCGCCTGTCGAGTGTCTTTTGCCGAAATCACTTTTAAAATTTGTTTGCTCCCGCCTTATGCAAATGGATATTAGAATGCCGCGCTAAACTGAGGAGCCGAGCAGTAAAAAAACAGGACCGAAGAAAACAGAGGATTTCTCGAAGGACGCGTAACGTGAAAAAGGGATTATTGTGCATCATTTTGGGTAGCGAGAAAAATGCGAGGGAAGGCGAAATAAAAAATATTCTCAAGTCGGATTATGCGATAAAATGTTACTGAAGTGTAAATGTTTTCTCACGTGTTAAATCATTAAATATAAGCCATCCAAGCTGCACACAATTGGTTTAGAGCCCGGCCATATGGCCATTGTTACCTTTTACGAGTACCACCAACCTAAAACTCAGAGAAAGCCCATCGAAAGGCAGTGTGAAACTTGTTAAACACTATAAATGGTCGAAGTTTTTAAGGTTTTTTGTGAGAAAAGTTAGCCCATTAGTCATCGAGAACATTGTGTGATAGTTCTGCATGAAAACCGTGCAAGTTATTAACTTTTAAGAAAGTGAGCCGGGTACCAAGGAAAAGGAAATTCTGTGTAATTAATTGCATAACGATTATGAAAGTTTAAGTGGAAATAAGTTGATTTATATTTCTTTGCAAGTTCAAGCACTTGACTCTACCATTGATTGAGCTGTTGAAGTAAAAGTTCAAGATAAAGAAATATGTTTTAAAAAGTTGAGTTACCATGCAGAAGTGTTAATTTCTTAAAATTTTTTAAATAATTACCATTTTAAATGGCAAAGCTAAAATTTATCTTGCTTATGTATAGTTTAAAATAAATATTTTTATTCTTGTGCTTTCACTACTCTATTATATGGTTATTTCAAAACCACTTTAATCACAATAAAATCGTATGGTAAACAACACATTTAGGTAAATGTATTTATTAGGGATTAAACGGATTTGTGCTGTTCAACAAAATAAGTTTTGAAAAAGACCAGAAAGCTAAATAAGCAAATTGGATTACCATGGAATAAAGTCGAGTTCCGATGCCAGTTTATTTGTCTATGCTGGTGCCACTGCATCGCCAATAAAAGTTTGCAACTCAACAAAGGCGAAAACACTTAAATAAATATATAAATCAAGCAACACACAAATTGTGCAAAACGAGTTCAGAGACCGAGTAAGCCAACAATGGGTTTTCACGAAAATCGCTTGAGAAAACGCATCGAAAGACTTGTGGCCGACCCATAAAGAAGAGTTGCAATTTTTTGCTGAAAGCTGGAAATAAAATGAAATAAAATAAACTAAAATAAAATGAAACAGGATCGAGGTTAGATAGAACCCAAACGGAGGCAACCCAGAACCCAAGCCAACCCCAAGTGTATTAATTCAATAAACCTATTTATCTGAGACTTCGACTGGGATTTCGAGAACGGCGCAGAGAATGCGACAAAGTTTGCCAGCCAAGACGGCGCAGTGCAATCAGCAGATCCTGTCCGTCCTGGTCCTGGTACTGGAACTGGTCCTAGGGAGCACGAGAAGCCAGATTCGATGCCGCAAACGAGTCCCAATTGGAGGCAGGCGGACAATGAGCGCACAAAAGGCGCTGTAAGTGTCATTGCAGCCAGGAACTGGGCCACTGGGACTGCCACGCAGGACTGGAGCCAGAAGAGCAGCAGTAGCTGGAGCAGCACCAGTCGAGGAACCAGAACCAGAACCAGAATCAGCCCAACCAGGACCCGGCCCGCCACGTTGACAACCGAGATGACAGTGGCAGGACGAGCAGTACGAGCAGTACGAACAGGACGAGCAGGAGCAGGAGCGCCATGGTGTCGCCGATTTTCCCTGACATTCCCACCAGCGTCTTGGCTGCGCATCAGCTTCGCCCTTTTGGTCCTCACGGCTCTCGGCTGTGGGATACGTAAGTACAGCTTGGGGGTTTCCCTCGCTCCTTGCGTGTGCGTGTGACTTTCATACATTTTTGATTTAATTTAACGCATTCACTTCGCACACTCTAACACACAGTTAAAAGAAGTTGGAATGGTACGAACGGGTGGGATACCTCTTAAAAAGTGTGCCAAGCCAGATGCCTCTCTCTACAATCGTCTCAAATCAGAAAAATGAGAAGGAAAACACATATTTTACATTTCTTTCCAAATGCATTATTTTTTGTAAACTTAAATCGCGCCTTGCAGTACTAGGAAAACAGTGACAGCTTTCAGTGCTTTATGCTTTCATCTTGTTCTGCCAGATTAACAGGATAAGTATCTCCAACTCCTTGGTTCCTTATTTATTCGGCTACCGGGTGGAAAACCCAAACCCCGGCGCACTTGGCAACACACACATGGATAATTGTCCTCGTAAGCGGATCCCAAGACGCGACATAGCTGCTGGCAAATTGTTTTAGTAGTTCTGGATCAGCAGGGGGAGTGGAAACAAGGCAATTGTCGTCCTTGGAAATTGCGGAGGATGGAGCTGGGGGCTAAACTTCCCATTGTTTCATTGGATTTGCAGAAATTAGATTAGAAGGAGCCACTGGACTAGCGAAATAGGAAAACAAAAGCCCCTACAAGTTGACAAAAAGTAGTTGGGCATTGCGCAATGTTTCCATATATATTCTTGTGTTATTTCGCTCTCATAAATAATGTAATCGATTTTCCCACGTAATTATCAAAACTTCGTTGTACACAATGAGACCCAAGCTCATATAAAGATGTAAATTAGATCGAATGTGACTACCAACATTGTTACTATTAACAACTGGATATATGCATTTCAAAAATTAAGAACTTAGGATCGTATAAGTTTTTTAATTAAACAACATAATTTTTCGAGAAGTTTTATTTATAACTGGTAATTACCATTGAAATCTATACCTACGTAATGTTTTCATAAAACCTAACTTCCACAAGTAAGCAAGCGTTTCCTTGTCTTTTAAATTTGTCGTTTTAACCGAAAAGGAATCTCAAAATTTGTTAAAGATAAGTGATCTAAATTCCGAGTTAGCCCTTTAAGAAATGGCGTGTGGTTCTTTTAATACGTTGATTTTGGCAGCTCTTCAAGAAAAGGAGTGCCCTGTTACTTTCCGGGAAATTTTAGAGGACGTGGCCTTTCAGCTTAAAGTTGCAAAAATGCATATAAAAACCGGCGTAGTTATTGCATTGCGAATTGGCATAAATCGAGGATTAATCCAAAAGTCTGGGCACAGATTCTACGTGAAGAAATCAGAAAAAAAGGAAACCAAAGAGCCGACGTGTCCAACAAAACTTGTAGATCGAATCGTCGTATGTCCCCAGGATGAAACTTTGCTTGATAAAGATGGAGATTTTGTGGAGGTTTTGACATATTCCGACGATGAAGAGATTATGGTGTTCAATGTTGTAAAGAAACAGAAGAATGATGACCTTTCAAATGAGTCTAGCCATACAGGAACATCTGAGAACAGTTCACTGGAGTCAAGTGTTAAGTCCGAAGTATGTTATTCGGAAGAAGGAGACGATATGGAAGTTGAACAGGGGGATTCGCCAAAGTCAAATATCAGTATAAAACGCGAAGAAAATTGCTCAGATGTTACCAAGACCGATATCAGTACATGCGGCCCAGAAGGGTAAATGTTCAGTATAATTTAACTTACATGGTTTGCCAATTTGAATCCAATTTTCAAGACCAAGGTACAATTTTCTAGGACTCCTTTGAGCACTTTTAACCTTACCAAATGAGAAATATATAAAATACTTAATTTTTAAATACAAAACATATTTTTAAATTTAAGCAAATACCCCCACCTCTTAAAGCGAAAAAGTTTAAAAACTTTCCCCTGTTTCCCTTGTGAGTAAAATAGTTTCAAAAGGTCCTTAACCTCATTGCTCCATCAGCAGAATCAGCTGCTCATTCTTTCGTCTGCCCAATAATCAAGGGAAAAATTAAACAATTGACTATTCCACTTTTATATAAAACTCTGCGTCGCTCCCTTGACTTTGCAGCCCCATAAAAATATTAACGAAATTGAAAACTTGCCAAAAAATGTTTAATAAACACGTTCACAGCAGTGTGAACTCAACCCTTTCTAAATCCCTTATACGATTTCCCCACTGAGCTGCCCTGCTGTCCCTTTATTACAACTCGTAACGAAATGCGCTTTTGGAAAGTTGTGAGTGCAACTCGTTATGCCAAAATGCAGAATGGGCCAACAAAGCAGATGCAAGCCAACTCAAACTCCGAGCTCCGAAACATTCAACATTATAATGCGGCCAAAGTTTGTCTTGCTAGCCTGCCGGCTTTTGTTCTCTCGAAATGCTTATTCAGATTTTTTGAAAATTTCTGGGGGATTCTGTGGATTGTGGAATTCGGTTTTTTTTTATTTTTCGGTTTGCTACATAGCACCGGATGCCTGCTAATTTTTGGGAATGTGCCTGCAAAGTCGTTGGGCTCGAATCAAAGCGGCCTACAGGTTGACTTGGGACGACCTTTCCTTCCTGATCGCCGCCCTGTCTTCTCGCTATTACACCTGGCCAAATGGCCAGAATCCTTTAAGGCTGCTCTATGGGGTCGTGATGTCATGTCCTCCTGTCCTGTCGTGCAGTGTCGTGTGTGCGGTCGTCGTTGCGAGGGCCAAAAGTGTTTGCTTACCTTCATAAATTATAAATGGGTTTGCGGAGAGACCCAAACAACAACATCAGCAACAGCAGTATCCCTTAGGCGGCAGGACACACACACACACACACAGACACATTGCCAGTTGACCTCAGCCTCGGCAGGTCCTGTGATGACGGAAAATATTGTAGCACAAGCAAAGTTGGACAAGGCACATGACAGTGCCGCAGGTCAACAAATTGTCCAACGGTGGAACAATGTGTGTCACATGGGTTTATTAGATGCCCAGGAACATCGCGGATTTCGCATGTTTTGCGGTGCAATTCGCTTGAAATGTCTTATTCGGAATTTAAATAGCACTGAATAATTTGTGTAGAATTTCTGACAAATATAGGCTGCCATGTTCTTTACATTTCAATTTCTTCTTGTTGCATACACATTTCATGCTGTCAACAAAGATGCTTCTAGCATCTTTTACAATTGACCTCCTTTAAAAGAAGTCATTTTCGTTTCGCATTACTTTCGAATTTAAGAACTTTTTACGTGTTTAAAACAATGACGCTTTTCTCTTAATCTAGAACAGAAAAAAACGTTTTATCTTCAAGCAATTATTCTACAAACATTTTTTTTTAATTTCGGGGCTGTAGGGCAATATTACATGAAAGTACTTCTACGTATTTCATGCTGTCAACAAAGATGCTTCTACCGTCTTATACAATTGACTTCCTTCAAAAGAAGTCATTTTCGTTTCGCATTTCGGCCCACTGTTTCTCATTCGCCATGCAACTAACAATTTCCTGTTCACATACACACAATCACGCTCACAATGTAAGCCGAATGGCCTTGATGCGCTTTTGGCTCGCAAAATGTGAGCTTAAATTATTCAGAGGGTCAGGGGTCAGAGGCAGCTGCAGCTGCGTCGACGCTTTGGGCAATCAAAGGCAACAACAAGTGTGTGTGTATGGGCCATTTAATTGCTCAGAGAATATCAATGGGGCGAGGTTAAGGGGGATAAAGGCGAAAAGGGGCGCAAGGGGGCAGTGGACGAACGACAAAGACCAAGCGAGAAATGACCCACAAATGACAAAGTGCAGCGGCAGTCAACGAGCCTTGTCTTTATTCCTTGCCGAAGTGTGAAAAGAACAAGACAAACCACCAAGAAATAAAAAAGGATATACAAAGCAAAGGCCCTAGGGGCTTCTTTGTGGTAATTTATGAATCGCAGCATGGGGGCTCCAGAAAGGGGGATACATACTCGTACTATATCCTGGCAAAAGGCCCTCTGAAAAATTATTTCATTTCTGGTCAACATTTGGCTACATATTTATAGCATTTTCGCCCCCGCCAGCTTTCCTTTCCCACAGTTAGAGTAAAACTTGGTGTTCTACATATTTACCAAGAAGGCCATAAAATCAACTAGATAACGCAAAAGTCTTATATTTGTAGGATGCTGAGATTTCGCATAATTATTTCCCTTGATTTATTGAAGGCAAAAGCACAAAGTGTAGACAGCGGAGGAACCCGTCGCTTTAATGAAAGCAAATTGTGTAAGAAACAAGAGTTGAACATACAATTATTTAACATTTTTCCTTAAGTTCATAATGCAGTTAAACAGAAATTGGTATATCAGAATAGCAACTATAGCTAATATGTAGTATTCCTACTTTTATTCCATTAACCCTGCACATTAACAAACTGTAATACATTATAATCATTCTCCCATTTTCCCAGTAAACGTTTCATCCATTTCAAATTCACCTAACATTACATTCACCAACCGAATTTTTAAAACGTCCCTACCCCAGATGAATTTTTTTTTAGAACACATTGTTATTCGACCTTTTTCCTCACTCACTAGAAAGCCAAGCAACCGCTTCACCCATTTGAAATTCAACTAAACTGAGATATCCGACTTTTCTGCTTTTAATTTCCCTAAAGGATTTTGCCATCCACCACAGCTCACTTAACAACCCCACAGCCCCACTGATTCATCTTCATCAGCTCGAACCTTTTGTATCATAAATTATTTATTTTTATGCATATTGCGATGACATTTGATCACAAGTGCTTGGTGTTCCCATAAATATTTGAGTAAAAAATCAAACGAGGGGTCGAGAATTGTATTTAAAGTGGCATTTATCAAATCGATCAATAAACAATTACCGAATGCCAATGCTCGCAATATAAATAAACAAATAGCTCTCGCACATTGCAGGCATGAAATCTTATGGAAAGTATCTGTGTGTGTGTGTGTTTTGGCGCACAGAAACACTGTCTACGCATTAAAGATACATTTGCGCAAGTGTGGGTGCTTTGAGTGGGTGAAAG